AATATTTCTCAAAAAAATTAACTGCTGCTCTCAAAAATCAAATGCAAAACAAATTGTGTGTGTTTTTTTGTTTTTGTTTTTGTTTTGTTTTGTTTTTTTTATTGACCCATTTGGTTCAATTAGTCCTCTTCAAATAAATACAAAAAAACCTGATTTTGCCCTGACTGGTGTGGCTCAGTGGGTTGAGTGCCAGCCTGCAAACTGAAAGGTCACCAGTTAGATTACCGGTCAGGGCACATGCCTGGTTTGCAGGCCAGGTCCCCAGTGGCGGGGGCGCACAAAAGGCGACCAAATGATGTTTCTCTCCCCCTCTCTCTCTCTCTCACTTCCCCTTTCTCTAAAAATAAGTAAATAAAATGTTTTTTAAAAAAACTTAACCCAGTCAGGATCAAACAACTCATATAATATATTCTTCAGCATTGCAACATGTTTTCAAGGTTTTAAAGCATTTTTCAGTAGTTATTCATCACAAATATTCTTTTGAATGTAGTAGCTTCATCTTTCCAAGGATACCTCCCCTTCTGTGAGTATTCAAACCCATGTAGACACAACGTCAGGAAGTGCTGTCCTACCCATCCCATGGTTGGATGAAGAAAAAGGGTGTTGTCCTTACGTTTTGACCTCTTGATAACATTTTCAAAGTTTGGCAGGCAATTAAAAAAAAACAGTGGATCCCAAAGTACATGCCCAGGCTTATTTTTGCACTAAAAGCTGTAACCAGCAATTCTCAGCAAATAAAAGGAGGGCCTCTAACTGGCCTAATTCTGTTTGAATAGCTGTTTGCTATGGCTTGTTTGCACAGAGAACGGAGAAGCCCAGCTCTACCAATCATCCACCTCATAACAACCTTTATAAGTCTTAAAGACTTGAGTTTTACAGCCCAAAGTTTAGTTTGCCCAAAACACAAATACCAGTATTAAGCATGTAAGTAATATTTTCAAGCACAACAAGAGAATAGTCCATTAACATGAAATAAACTTAATATGAATTTAATATCTAGCCTCAGTCTTCTCACTTACAAGATTAGAATGATAAACATTATTGGTGTTGGAGCTGCTGACATGACTATTAATTGGAGAGTACATAAAATAATATGTGGAAATTTATTAAATTTATTTTTATAAATACAACAAAGCCATGGATTTCTAGGAAAGATCAACTTTTTAGACCTAAGTTGTTCTTCTTGAACAGTAACATTAAAACCGACTGCAAGAGGCAGTTCCTACTACAGTCCTAGGATTTTTGCCTATGACAAGCTAAAGACAGACATTTTTGTAATGCTCTTCTGTTTTATAATTCCTCCCTACCATCACCCCCTAAATGGACAAGCACCATTATTATAGTATTGAACAGAGGTCTACTTGACTCCAAGAAATAAAAGTAATCTGTTAATGTATGGTAATTGTATATTCTTTCAGTGCTGCATTTTAAGTTAGGCTTCCATCTATCGTAGCCCTGGAGGAATTCAATTAATTCTCACACACTCTCTTGGATTAGTAGAGCACTTTGATAGTGTTGCATTAGCAGATGCAAATCATTGTCTGGATAAGGCAGGGAACTGAAAATTAAATAAGCAAATATGCATTGTTTGGAGAAGGTCACCCCCCAAAAGTGAAAAAACTTTGTAGATCCAGCCTCCTAGCAAAAATATCACAATGAATAGCTACTGAATAAGCATTTCATGGCACCAGACACTTGGAAAACCAGCATGTTATGTTTCCTTCCCACCCTTTCTCCATTCCCAGGGTTGGTTCACAACTTTTTCAAGCTATGTTGCATTAAAAACTAAGGTCTAGCCCTGGCTGGTGCGGCTCAGTGGATTGAGCACCAGCCCATGAACCAAAGGGTCGCCAGTGCAGGGCACATACCTGGGTTGCAGGACAGGTCCCTGATAGGGAGCGCATGAGATGCAACCACACACTGATGTTTTTCTCCCACTCTTTCTCCCTCCCTACCCTCTCTAAAAATGAATAAATAAAATCTTTACAAAAAAGAAAACTAAGGTCTCATTGACTTGAAACACACTGCTTTTCAACTTTAGCTTCCAGTCTAGGGCCAATATTTTTAGAGTGGCAAGCTGCCACCCTTTCTAATATTTTTTTTCCTCATTCACCTTTCTACACAGCTTGTTATATTGGGTTCTATGCATATAGGATGCATGAGATCTTAGAGCTTCTCGAGAACATAGACCTCCCTCACATCTCCATTTTGCAAATGACAAGTGAGAGAGAACTTAACTGAAATGTCTTTTTGCCAGACTCTGTTAAAGGATTTGCCAGAGGAGGCTTTCAGTCCAGGTACAATCTCCTTAGAGAAAACTGTCAACATAGAAGAGGAGCCTCAGCGGTATTTTCAGGATGTAAATATTAGCCTAATAATTAGCTCTACCAAGTGTTGAATTTTTGTTTTTAATTCTTGTCAAAATATCAAGTCCCAAATTCTTAAAGCATTTGGTGATATAGTTGATCCTAGGTGCCTAGTAGTTTTCAGGAAGAATTTTTATATATTTTTATTCCTGGAAAGTGCAGTCATTATTCAGTAGCAACCTATTTCCTTAAAAAAAAAATCATAATTTATTATTTAAACTTGAGCAGTGTGTCTAAAAACAGTCCATTACATAGTAACTGAATGTTGGATGGGCTTGATTCCCTTGTTCTAGATGTGAGTCTCATGTCTATCGCCTCGGACACATTGTTCAAACATTTGTTACTGTTGATAAAAGGGAAGTGGCACAGTTGATGTGTTTTTTGATTCATTAACCCAGATTTCTCCATTTTGAATTTTGGAAAAACTTTTGTGTATGTTGGTAGCTGAGTGAGGCCCATAGCCAAAAGCCTTTTTAATAGTTCTTAAATGCTGCTAACTGCTAAATTAAAACTTGAAGAGTGGGCTTTTCCTGTGCTATAGAAGAGATTTATCATGGGCTCAGAAACCAATCCCATGGACATGTAGATTCATTGCTTCCCAGTGGCTGTAACCTGAGGACTTCATCTAAACTACAATAATTTGATGTCAGGGAGGAATAGGATCTTTATCAACAAAGTGCTGCCAGAACCCCAACTGTTTTTAGAGTAGCTGTAATAGATGAATAATGTTACAACCAACTGAGCAAAAGCCTTTTTGCTCAAAAGGATTTTCACTCATGTTGGTGGTATTCCATATCCATGTGTTCATCTCGAAGCACAGTAGTTTCCATCTGACTTTCATTACTTTTCTTGAGAGGATCAGTTTTACAACTGGAATCAGAAAAGCAGTCAAAGTAATTGAAAGTGGCAATCAGTGAAATATAACAATTTTAGCTTGGGAACATATGTTTCATTCTAAGGAAAATATTTTTTTCCATGAATCCAGGACCCACGTTTTCCCAGGGCAACAGAAGGAGCCCAAAGGAGCCATGCCCTAACGCTGCCTCCCACGCCATGGCACTGTTCCTCCAGAGACTGGCAGCGCGTTACCTCCCAAAGAGATCTGTTCCCTTTTTGATTCCGTCAGTTTGAAAATGCTTTATTATATTGGAGATAAAATCTCTATCTCTGTAGTCACATCCTTTAGAATTGAAAAACTTGGGTCTCAACAGAGTAAACCTGAACCTCTCTTCAGATACACATGGGTAGTTTTACCTTTTTGGTGCCAAGTTGTACTATATACCCGTGTTCCTTTCTTACATGGAATAGCTTTCACTTGCTTAATCATTCTGGCTACTCTCCCTGGAAGAAGCTCAGACTTGCCTATATTTCTCTTAAAGGCTTTCAATCAGAATATCTGCATTAAATTATAGTTCTTCCACTTACTAAATTTTGGAACTGGGGGAAATTATTTACTCTTCTGTCACTAAGAATAGCAAAGGTGAATGAAAGAGACATGGTCTAGAGGTCGAAACAGTCAATAAACAAGTTAACAAACATAGTTACAGTCTGTACTATGTAATGTACGGAACTGCCAAGGGAAACCTGAGGTCCCAGGGTTCTGAAGGGCAGGCCTTCTGAGATGGGGGTGAATGTTTTACAATGGAAAGGAGACAGAGTCATCCAGGATGTGAGATGGCACGAAGGTAGAAGAGCATTGTTTTCCAATAACTAAAGCAGAATCTAGAGTTTAGACATTTAGAAGGTGAGTGGAACGAGATGAGTCTGGAGAAGGGCTGAGCTTTGTAGCCATTGTTGAGAGTTTGGGTTTTATTTGAAGTGTAAGGGGAAGCCATTGTTCAGTCTGAAGAAGAGATGTTACAGTGTCTGAAATAATGATTTTTTAAAAGTGCTCTCCTGCTAGATGGAGAACAGTGCTAATGATAAGAGTAGAAGCAGGACAACCAATGAGGAAACAGCTGTCATAAGAGAGGTTCTTGTGATACAACAATTCCTGAGGTTTAAACAAGAAGCAATACTTCCCAGAAGTTAAGTCAAAGTCATAGCAGACCGACTGCCTATGATTTTACCGGACTCCACCAACTGGAGCAAGTTTTTCAGTCTCTGTGCATCTCAGTTTTCCCTTTTGTGAAAGGAAGATCGTCATAGGACTTACTTCATACAGTTCTTGTAAGGATTAAATGAGTCACATGTTGGCAAAATCTGCAAAGACTTTTTCACTACCATGACATGCTATATCACATTTTTCAGACTCGGGCATTATTTTACTTAGTTTTTGTCTGGGAATGGGGAAGAGAATGAGTGAGGACGATGACCCGATGATTGTTTATTCTCTTTTGCAAGCCACATTTTGTTGATGCAGTGGAGAAGGACAATGTGAGAGAAGGCATTCTATGGACAGTTACTCTTTTTTTGGTAGTCCACCTTGTCATTTTGTAAATGACCTCAAACTTTGCATTTCTTTACATATATGTTACCTGTTTTGAATCTTGCTTAAAACCCAAATCCTGTAAAATCACTGTAACTCCTCTAGTGTAGTGTGGAACAGTAATGTCATAATGCCATTAGGCTGTGTCCTGGGACACCTCTTCTTGTGATATGTTCACCTAGTTGAGCAATACTTCTGTTTTACAGGCATCCCAGGAAGTGACTATGTGAATGCCAACTACATAGATGGTTATAGGAAACAAAATGCCTATATTGCAACACAGGGATCTCTCCCAGAAACATTTGGAGACTTTTGGAGAATGATTTGGGAACAACGGAGTGCCACGGTTGTCATGATGACAAAACTAGAAGAACGATCCAGGGTAAGAATAAGCATCTCTTCCCTCTTAAAGTATTCCCTCAGATAGTCCCCATGGTGCATATTTTATTCTGTTCAGAATCTAACCTTAAGGTTTGACCTTCTAACGGACATTAATTATGAATGGGCATCAACAACTCCGATTAAACCATTCTTCAACACTGCTGAGTCTTTCAAAAGTGAGATTCTCTCATGATACCATGTATGTGATCACTAAAGCAAACAAAAAAGTAATACTCAAAGAAGAAACACCCTTTTCAAAAATATTGAATAATAACACACAGACTTTTGGGGAGAATTTCACCAATATCTGCTTCCCAGTATTTTCCACCTTTTCTTTCTCACAGTCTGCAGTGTGAGATTTAAAATTCTGTGACACAGGCTCTTTTTGAAATTATTCAAATTAGCACAAATTAAGTCGGTGCAGCCAGAAAAATCATGTGGTTTAATACACGGCTGAGAAAACACATAAATGTGTAGAGGGTATTTTGCTAGTTTAGCCTTCTCCTAAATGAATAGATTTTAATAATGGAGTCATTGCTTATTAGAGTCTAAGAAAGGAGTTTTATTCATCATATGGGTCTAATGTTACGGTGCATGGCACGTAAGTTAAATGCTGCTGATTTGCAAAACTAAAACGTAGTGGGTAAGCCATAATCCCAAGAAAATGTGCAGATATTGTAACCAGTTAATGAAAAACAATCTTTAACCTTGAGAATTTAATGAAGGAGTTTCTGAAAAATCACTAAAGATGACACACACTCTAACAGAAGAGTGGGATATTCAGGGCGGAGTTTAAAACCACGGCGAGTCGACTTGCATCGTGGTCACAATAGCTCAAACAGGATATTTAGAAGGAAGCCAAAGCCCAAGTCCCCATCTGCTGAGTGACAGTTGAGGTTTTTCTAAGCTCAATTCATGGCAGTTTTTCTTAGTCCAGGTGTGTATTTGAGGGAAGAGTCAAAAGCTGCCAAGAGGATTTATAAGGGAAAAGCTCACACTTAGGAAAATACGAAGAGTCCCAGCTGTTAACTTACAGATAAGAAGTTGAGAATGAAAAAGATGTGGTTCACAACTGATTTTGCAAACCTAAAAAAGCAATCAGATCTTTTTAAAACCCGTGAATTCTATGGACACATTGAAATATTGTCTGAAATGAAATTTAGATAAAAGCTGTTATGACTATGAGGACAATATCTTTACATACTTGTTATTGATTTGCACTTAGGGTAATCCCTATATAACAAGCCAGTTCTTTAAAAACAACCCCCAACCCAATGATTCTTGAATATACCTGTTAATAATTATAAAAATGTCTAATATGTATTAGGTGTATTGATACTTTACAACAACCCTGTGAGATAAATACTACTATGATCTCTACTTTACATATGAGTAAACCAAAGGTAGAACATTCCAGAAAGTCACCCAAGGTCATTCAGCTACCAGTGCAGAGTTAGGAATTGCAGACAGACAGTCTGAATCCAGAACACATGTGCTTAACCATCAGTCCATACTTCCATGAAGCTGAGACAGCTGAAGTGTTATATTTTGGCATGCATGTAAATCCAACCAACCCGGATCACTCTGCCTGGAGATACTGGCTGGTAACAAGCAGTCATTTGCAGAAGCTGTTTTCAGTAAAACACACATTTTATCTTGACACTGCAGGCCTTCATTAAACCATGCACAGAAACTTGTTTTGAAATAACCAAATGAAATTCTGCCCCCTTTCTCCCTAATTGCTTCTAATAATAAAGTTAGTTCTAACTGGCCCCACTGCCACCGCAACATCTGATGGTAATGAGCAGCTCTTGGCGGAAGGCACTGTGGCTTAAATACCTGCAGTTTATCTTTACGTTGCAGGCTACCTTTTTTTTTCCCCGCCTCAGACAGAGAACTTATTTGGAAGTTGCTAAAGGAACCTCTGTTCCCTCCCTTCATTAATTACTCTTTGCTCTTGCAAGTTAGCTTTCTCTTTGTTAAATGGCCTAAAGGAGGCCAATTAAAATGCTGTCTGGTGATTTTTATTCTGCGGTGATTCAGCCAGTGCGCGAACTGGTGGTGACCTGCATAAGCCAATACTGAGGAGTCTCAGCCACTATCAATCTGACCATATAAATGAGCCCTGACCCCCAAGGCCCAAAGCCCTTTATTCCCCAGTCTGGAACACTTGAGAATAAATGACCAAATGCAGCAGAGAGATCTAACGGAGCACTGGTGCCTCAAATGATCTCACCTATTCTTCTATCTTCCTCCTTCACATCCACCCACCTCGCCTTTTTTTTCCCCTATGTGATGGCTCCTTAACCTAAAGTCTTGGGGAGAAACGGCAAGGCATTCCTGGATTCTCAAACAAGACTTTGGATTGAGTTTTGCTACAAAAACAGTGTTATAAATAGTGGTTACTTGTTACTGAAACATATAGCTCTGTACTTTAGGAACTTTGTGGGTTATGTGGGCTGACCTGGAGACTCAATGAATTCTCAATTCCCAGCAGCCACCTTCAAAGCAGACATTTGAACTAGCTTTGGCTTTAGTTAGGAATTGCCTGTAGTCTCCCTCATAAATGGAGGTGGTCCACGTAGTTCAAATGAATCAGTTCTCTAAGGGCTGAAACCTAAAAGTTCATTATTTTGATTAAGGCTCAGGTTCTTGAAATAATATTCATCTCCTTGGTATAGGGGGGAAAAGTGTATGTGTGTATGTATGTGTGTGTGTGTGTGTGTGTGTGTATAAACACTTCAAGTATTAGATGTATATAGGAGTACCTGTTGACTGAAGAATTGGTTGGGGAAGAGAGAAGAAAAGAAGAGGGAAGAAAGGGTACCAGGATATCACACAAGACTCTGGGGACATCGTCATTGGAGAGAAGCTACATGTCATAATTCCATGTAGGGGTGTCTCACAGTCAAATGCCTAGGTTTAGATTCTTACTCTAAAGCTCACTTGCTATGTTAGAATGAGCAAGTCACTGGATCCCTCAAAATCTCATTTCCCCTTTTTGCTTACATGGAAAGGTTATTGTGGATATTGAATGAGATAAGGAATGTGACAAGGTGGCTCAATGAATCTTAACTACTGTTGTTTGGCTTGAGAGAGAGAAGTTAGAGGCTTTACCATTACAACTTTACTTCCCCTAAAGCTGTCTTCCAAATAATTCAATTTTTTGTTTCCAAATGAAATGAGTTTGCTTCTCTGAGGTTACAGGGAATCCTGGCCAAATTCGTAGTCACTGCACATGGCAAATCCTGCCCACTGTCCCAGTGTAGCACATCCATGCATTATGGTCTAGAGGAGAGTGTAGCTGAGAACTGTTGCGGGGAGGTAGCACTTGCCTTCCCCCAGGGCAGAATCTCTGGAACGGAGAGACTGATGCAGAAACTCATTTATCAGTCTGTAAACAGACCTTGGCCATTCTGGCTGCTACTTCTACTGCAGCCATATCTTGAAGGAATACAATATGAAAATAGTGAGTGATATCGACATGAGTTACATGTGGTAATAATTGTCAGTAAAGTTTGTGTATTCTTGATACCGCTTTTCTTTCTTGGCTCCATTTTGCACTCTCTGTCCCTATTCTTATGTATTTGATGATGCTAGGGAATTATCTCTACTTAAAACCTGTCTCCTGTTTTTTCCAACTTTCTGTTTTGCCTAGGCCTGACTCACTGTTACCATGTCACTCTGGCCTGCTCTTGAAAAAGCAGCTGGGTTCATTAGCAGGTGTTAGAAATTTAATTGGCCTTTTGATAGAGAACTGACCATTCTTAGGTTTGAATGGCTAAAGAAGGTCTTACTCATGTGAGGTACGACTTAGGACTTCAGCCGGTCATTTGAAAACCTGAGTTCTTTGATTTTCAGATACAATTACTCCCTCTCAAATGTGGCCTTGAAACGATATCAAACCTGAGAAGATTATTTGTATAGTCTATACACTCCGTTTTCAGCCCCAAAGAGGAAATGTGCATGTTGAATGTTTTCTGGGAGTTTCGTTCAGATACATAAAGAAAGAAAACAAAATGTAAGGCTAAAATCCAGAGATTTTGAATGTAAACTATGATTGCTGCCTGAAACACACAGATCAATTTAAAGCCTTGTAAAATGTACTGTGACATGAGATACTGTTAGTGGGTTTTATTCCACAGTTTCCATCTTTTTTGCCAAATCCTCTCAAGTTCTGCGTAGTTCATTGATTCTGTAGAAAATCATTCTTGTGCCCTAGAATGTGGTTTCTAATTGTTTCCATGTTTCATAACATGCCAATAAGCACATGAATTGGTTTGGGTGACCACATGTAGGGAGGAAAAAGTTCGGAAAAAATGAAACACTGGTAGGAGAGTAAAATATATACAGCTGGGATTTCCACTCCAAGGGTGTTATTTGTGGGCACCAGGGACACATGGTTGGCAGCCTCAGTTGAAGAATTGGAGTTTCCAAGGCAGGATTTGCCAAGGTGATTCCTGGCCCAGGAAGCTCTATTGTTTTGTTGATTGTCCACTTCTTTTCCTTCATTTATCTGCTTTTGACTATTTCTCGTCTACTTTGTTTCCCATCTTGAGGTGCACAAGACAGAGGGAATGGGTAAACCTCATGGTTGGCAAATTCTTGAGCAGCCTTGTTTAGTGTTAGAAGCTGAAATGGCTTAACAAAGGTTGAGGGATATTTGGCTTTCTCTAGTCCTCACCTTCTCACTGGCCTGCCTTCAATAACTGCCTACAGTTGACGCTCATTGTTGATCCTGTTGTCTTGCAAGCTTTATAGCAGGAGTTCATTCACTTAAAGAGCTGTGATTGTGGCGGTACTTAGTGCTATAAATGTTGAGGATGGTGAGTGGAATTTTGACAGTCAACAAATGGGACGTGATTCATGATTTGAATTGTCATCTACTGTAAGTCACGCTGATGTGTAGTAAAAGCATAGAGAGAGAAGTGAGGAATTCTGTTCTTGATTTCCAAACTCTCTAAGTCCTGTTTTGTGTTTCCAGATAGAGAATCATGAAAA